TCAAACATCTGCTACCAAGTGCCATGGGAGAGTCATCCAAGTGGTACAAGGATGCCAAGCCCTTCCTCAACACACCTGCTGTCATTTTCCAATTGTTTATTGGGCTGGACAAAAAGGGGAAAGAGCTGGATGATTTGCCTTGGCATCTGGTCAGAGCTTTTTCCAGCAACAGGGATGTTGGGAAGGTAATAAGTTGTAGTATCAATATCAGGCACTTGTTTATTTTAATTTTCATTATGTTACCATATAGGTATATAAGGAGTATTTGTCTCTTTCTCTGGAAGAAGCATTGGACACAGATATCCAGCTTTATGGCTATACATCTCCATCAATAAAAGACCCAACCTATGAGGAGAGACATCCAGGTTTTAAATGATATATACATAAAAAAAATTTTCACCTCTAAAATTTGAAATAAATTTCTCAGGAAAGGCAACTTTGGAAGCTTTTGCCCTTGCCAACAATGATTGGTTCAAGTCATGGCAGCACTTGCCTGTGAAGAAGAGAGGAGATGATTATGATGGATTGAAGAAAGCATTTGGTCAGAAGATCCTGGAAAAGATTCTGGATATTTATCCTCATCTCAAGGTAAATTAAATTGAAAGATTGGATTTGGCATATTTTTCAAAATATGTTCTTTCTATATAGGACCATGTGGACTGTCTAGTTTATGGCACCAGTGCTGCTGCAAACTTCTACTTGAACAGAAATGCAGGTGGTGGTGCCAAATTGGAGAATACCAGAGCCAGGATGTGCCTGGAAGCATCTGCCAAAATGAGAGCAGATTCAGGAATTCCAGGTCTTTTAAAATTACATATTTATGAAGTTATTGATGATTGATTTTATTTTTCTTTGCTCAAAATAGGCCTGTATTTGACAGGAGAAGACATCCTAGTCAATTCAGTGGTTTTCAGCTCCATCTCTGGGGCACTTACTGCATCTGAAATCCTTGGGAGGAATGTAGTGATTGAAGCATTTGCTTTAAAATCCTTGAAAATTTTGAAGCGCCATTTCTTTGGATCTGGAAAATAAGAGCCACATAAATCACTGTATTCCTTTTTTCTGCTGGAAAAATACACATGGTCTTGGAATAAAATGCATTTTTTTCTACCAAAAGCTCCAAAAAAAGGCCAGCAGATATGAATTATTCATTCATTGAATCAGATATTTTGCGACATGCACTCACATAGCACACATACATTTTCCAATAGATGGCGTCAATTCAACTGTACAGTAGTGTACCAAAAGACATGTACTGTACTAATAAATGCCACCTGCATTTAATAAGGTTCAAGATATTAAGTTCCTGAAGCTGTGTGCAAAGAAGTCGAGTGCAGAATAAGAGGTCTCAGGTATGTACTTGGTGTTTGTGAATCAGTTAGTTATTCTTGTTTATCCTTCATCTATGCAGTTCTCGAGCGGACTGAATGCCGCCAGGCTGTCTCGCCTTTCTCCTCCGCGCGCCCCCCTTCCGATCCGCGCGCCGATAACCACGCCGCAGACACGTGGCCCCCTTGGGTTGCGCGCTCGCCGCTAGGTGACGCTAGTGAGTGTAAGGGTGTGCCCTTACTCTCCCCCCCCCGGAAAGAGCGCGGGTTACGAATTTTTCTTTTTCGACGCGCGCGAGATTTCCGCGTGGTATAGGTGTGGTCCTTCTCGACCGCGGTCACTGTAGACTTTAGGGACACTGATTTGCCGTATGGGTGATCCAACTTCGAGGTCCGTTGCTGTTCTGATGGAGCCAATTGAGACTGCAACGCATAGGTATGATCCAGAGCCGGGATGACGACCTCTTTTCCCGACTCAGGGTCGAGGATGCCCAAGTACTTTTCGAATCCGGGTTCGGGTGGACGCGGTAGGCCCCGGTAGGGAACCATCTCCCAGGCGTTCACCCGACGTACGTGCTGTCCTGCTCCCACATGGTATTCCCCGTTCCCCTGATAGGACAGGACCATGAAGGGTCCGATGCGCCTCACACGAAAACGACGATTCGCTGCATGCTGGCTCACCGTTGGTAATCTAGGAAACACAGCAATTAGTTCACCTGGGGAAAAATGCCGCCCTTTTTGTTTATTTGCTTGTTCTATAAATCTACTGCGGTATTCTTCCACATGTTGCTGGATTGCCTCTGGGGATCGCTCGTTGTCAACGGCGGACACCCCAAACGTTGCGTCCGCTTCTAGGGTTTGCCGTTTGCCGAACATCGCCTCCGTGGGAGTTACCCCGGTTGCCGAATGAATCGTTGAGTTGTAGGCCTTCACCGAGGTGGCGAGGTGTGTTGCCCAGGTTGATTCGTTGCCCTGGACCGCTTTCGCCTGGATTTGAGACAGGGTCCGAATTGAGCGTTCGCAACATCCGTTTCCCTCCGGATGTGTGGCCTGCGCAAGATGCTGAGTGATATTGTATCCCCTGAGGAAGTGCTGGAAAGCATGGCTAGAGAACACAGAATCGCAATCGGAATGAACTATTTCAAATAACCCGTATTGCTTAAAAACCTCTGCTAAAAACGGGATTACAGTCTGAGAATCAGCCGAATGAATAGGCTGTGCGATCATGTATTTGCTGAAATGATCTACGGCGACGATGGCATACTTAAAATTTTCGTCCGATTGGGGTAGGGGTCCGTAAAAGTCGAGCACTAACCTTTCGCGAGGTCTGTTTGATTCGATCGCGCTCATCGGGAGTCCGACGGTTTGAGTCGGTTGATTGTATTTAAAACAGAGATCGCACGACAAGATCCGTTTCCAGACGTCCTGGCGCATTTTAGACCAGAAGAATCGATCCCGCAGGGCTCCGAGTACCTTCTTCCAACCCGCGTGGCCAAGTTCCCGGTGGTAGGCGTCGATTATCGCCGTTCGTTCGCTCTCCGAAGGTTGCGGTAAGGCATCCGCGCTGTTCAGCGAAATCCGACTGAGTGCATCGGGAGCATGAAGGGAATGCCCCGGCTTGTGCACCAATTCTAAATCAAAGGTTACGAGCTTCGCCTGTAAACTAATTAAACGTTCTGACTGCAGCTTACCTAACAAGGCTTTGTGATCTGTAAAAACGCGGAATTTTCGGTATATTAGGTGGTGGCGGAACTTTTTAGTCACGCTCCAAACCACTGCCAATAATTCGCGCTCCGTATTCGTATACCTCGTTTCGGCGTCCTTCAGTGTGCGACTGGCATATTCGATCACTCTGTCGTTGCCCTCAGGATCCGTCTGTACTAAGACGGCTCCTAAGGAAATTGACGAGGCGTCGCAATGTACGGAAATCGGCCAGGTGGGGTCGACTCGCTCCAGTCTAGCCGTGTCCGCCAACACCTGCTTAACGTGCTCGAATGCCCTTTCCGCCTCCGTTGTCCAGATCAATCGCGTTGCCGGTTTCTGTGGTATTGTACGCCGTAGGGCCTTCTCTGAATCCGCGAAATTTGTAGGCAAATGGGCTCTCAGGTAAGTGGCCATGCCCAGGAATTGCTGCATCTGTCGTCGGGTGTCTGGGCGTGGATATTTGCGGACGGCGTCGACATTACGTTCCGCCGGGCGGCTGCCCGTTTGATCTATTTCGTAACCTAAGAAAAGTGTTTTATGTGCGAGGAAGGAAGATTTTAAAATATCGATACATGCTCCCGCTTCCTGGAGAGCCGTCAGGACCAACTGTAAATTCTCACACAACACCTCAAACGTCTCACCGAACACAATCACATCGTCGACGTACGCCAAACAACGTTTAAATAAAAACGGACGTAAAATAGTGTTAATCGTCCGCTGAAATAATGCAGGACCTATTTTTAGCCCAAAAGGCAATACCTTATATTGTACTTGCCCCCTGGGAGACATGAAGGCGGTTTTTGGTCGATCCTCCTGAGCAATTGGGAGGTGATGATAGCCCGCATGCAGATCCAAGGTGCAGAAGTATTTGTTCTTGCGTCCTAGAGCTTCCAACAGCTCCTGGACAGTGGGCATCGGGTAATGGTCCGGCAAAATTAACTTGTTAAGCTCGGAGTAGTCTTCCACGAGGCGGAATCGTTTCTCGGTGGGAGCCCCTGGATCCGAGCATTTCTTGTCCACCAGAAAAGCAGGCGCGTTATACGGAGACGCTGCCGGTTCAAGAATACCGGCCTCTAAATATAAGTCGATGATTTCTGAAAAAGGGACGTTACGTTCAACAGAATGTCTAAATTGGCGCGCCGCAGGAGGAGATGCCTCGATGGTTGGAATCCGCACCACGTGATCGGCAAATAAACCTCGACTCCCCGACCACTGCCGGATGAGAGGAACATGTTGCTGCAAAATGTTCGAAACGCGTTCTCGCTCTGATGCTGACCCATCCACAAAAGAAATACCAGCCCCCGGGGCTAACGTCGGCCGCGAAGGTGCGCGCATAACTTCGTGGAAGCCGGTGAATACCCGTTTTCCATCAAGCGTGATTGCTAATGGCAGTTGCAGCAGCGTAGTTCTTCCCAATATGATTGCAAATTCGCGCATACCCGGCAAAATTAAAAACAGCCCCGAATGCTGCGTCCCCTGAAAATGAAACGTGGTTTCGATCATCCGCGTTACGTGAACCGCGTCCGGGCCAAGAGCCGTTCCCACCGTCGTATGTAAGGTGCGGGTTGGCAGCGCTAGGCGATTCGCGACCGTTTCGGAAATAAATGAATGGGAGGCCCCCGTGTCTAGGAGGGCCGAAAATAAATGACCGCATATGGAAATCGGAAGGAGGATGGGAGGAGGAGCGGCGGGTAAATTGGTGATATAACAATGCGCCGCATTCACTGTTACACCTTTGCGTTTCCCTGCGCCTGCGGGCACTCTTTTGCATAATGTCCGGTTTTTAAACAATGAAAACAAGTTACCGCGGAATTGTCGGAATGCGCGCTTCGAGAAACAAAATTTTGACCTGTTCCCGTAGCCGGTTTGGCACTCCCCGTCTCTGTTGTGGAAGTCGTCAGGACCGGTTGCTGCCCCCGAAGTCTGCATTCATTCGTGCCGTGCCGCATAACCCGTTTGTGAAATTCACACCATTGCTTCGGGGGTAGCTCCACGCGTGCTCGCGAACTCGTTCTGCCCGTTCCGCTGCCCTGGTTGGTCGTCCTGTGATTGAGGCGATAGGCCTCGGCCACGTCCACCAAATCGTCCCAGGTCATAGCTCGGTTCTTGGACCATTTACGATGAAGCTCCTCTCTCAGGCCCGAATCCACGGCGTCTAGCAGTTGCTCCTTTAACACGTGCTGAATGATGGGTTCCCCTGCAGCCAGCTCGATGTGCGACATCTGGAGGTAAACTTCGTACTCTTCTCGTAATCGTTCCCCAAAATTGAAGAAGCTTTCGCTGTGCTCGGGTTTGAGGGTCCGAAAACGCTTGAGCCGGTCCAAATGTGGCGTCGGATGTCGTCTGGCCACCGCGTCTGCTAGTTCCTCGAAATTGATGAAACCGCGTTTGTACATGCGGTTTGCTGTCGCCTGAATATGCGGTAGAGTATTTTCCAGGAGACAGCAGATCCGATGCTCGTCAGTGACTTTTCCCACTGCCAGCATGTTACGCAGGCGTGTGGTGTAGTCTTCAAAATCCTCGTCGTTCCGTTGTTTCGGGAGCTTGGGATTGTGAAGTTCTGAGAGCCATGCAGGTCGTTGCGTCAAAAAATGTCCGGACAGGTCGTGCTCATCGTCGTGGGGTTGCCTCGACATTCTGTCTTGTCCTCGCGGTAGGTTCTGCAAGGCGGATAGTGGAATTTGGAAGCGCTCCAGCTGAGCGGCATATTCCGTTTTGGTGGCGGGCGCTGGATGTCCCAGGTGGTAGGTGTCAGCGAGCAACTGAAGAGTGGCGAGGGGAAGAGTTTCCCACACGCTCGACGTGGAGGTTCCGGAGTTCCGTGAGGGCACCTGTTCCGTTCTCGGAGGTGCGCTCGGTTCGGCGTACTCGTCGTCGTCTTCCGAGTGTGTTGCTAGCTCTACCAGTGCGGCGGCTGCCGCTGCTTTAGAATTTTCCGTATTTCGTGGCATGATGCCGGAGATGCGTGACACGTGACGTCGATGAAAAAGAAATGGCTAGGGGAAGGCTATTGAGTGGCTCGAGCCCCCAATAAGGTTCTTCTATAATTCAAGGACTTCGACACACGTTTCTTCAGCTCACGTCTTATTCTCCAGAGTCCATACATGAACCACAAACACTTAGTCAATCAATAAGAACAAATAGGAAGTAGATACGTCAAGAGCTCCGGACTGAATGCCGCCAGGCTGTCTCGCCTTTCTCCTCCGCGCGCCCCCCTTCCGATCCGCGCGCCGATAACCACGCCGCAGACACGTGGCCCCC